TCTTATCCTTTTAGTATTGGCGCACCATTCTTGGTCCTTCCTAATTCTCTTTCCTCATCCGCTTCCTGTGCAGTTAGTTACTACTTTTGAAAGAAAATTGGTGGAGTTCCTGTGGTTTTTGCTTTATGTTTCTTTATTCTTCTTATTTATTATGTATTCTTTGTTCTGTTTCACAAAGGTTTTGCTAAGACCAGCAATTATTCTAATAGGATATTCTAATAGGCAGGATTCAGGGCAATAAAAAAATCATGCTGTTAACATTGTATTCTAATTTAGGATAAACAAGTCCCATGATCCTGCTAAAGCCTACTTCTGACACATGAAAACTAACAGATTTGCCTGAATTAGAAAAACCAGCAACATTAGAAAAACCAGAAGCATTGATTAGATCCACATTCACATCTTTCTGAGATTCTTTATGTCAAGTCAACAGTGGCTAAGACCCACTTTGGCTTTCTCCTCATCTTATCATTCCCGAACTTTTGCTAACCTTCTTATATCATTAGAAGTCTTTCTTTGTTTTTTCTTTCTCTCCCTCCCTCTTCCCCTCCTGCTTTCCTTTTTAAATGTGGCCAAGCCACTCAACTTGCAGGATCTTAGTTCCCCCAGCATGGATTGAACCCAGGCCCGTGGCAGTGAAAGAGTAGAGTCATAACCACTGGACTCCCAGGGAAGTCCCTAGAAGTAATTCTTATTTTCATAACATTTTTCTGGACTGGGTCAGCCCTTGCAACATGACAAAAGCAGAATACGGGAAAATTTCTAACATCTTCTGAGAAGCAGGTTTTGTATAGAGAAAAGGATTAGGAGTCAGATAGTCTGGGAGTTCCAAACCTAGCTTCATCATCTAGAGCCGATCAACTCCAGATTAGTCACTGTGTATCTTTCAGACTCAGTTTCCCCATCTATAAAATGTGGATTATAATTCCTCCCTCTCAGTATTAGGTTATAGTAAAGATTAAATGAGATGTACTCGATAAAGACATAAAGGGAGAAAGGGCTTGATAAATTGTAACTGTCATTATTGTCCCAGGGATGAATAGCAAATTATGTTTCCAGGGGAAAAAAGCGTATTAAGCAAGTCTGTACTTTGTTTTGTACTGATGTGTGTATGAGTGTGTGGGCCTGCATATGATAACATGTTTCTAGTTCTAGTAGTGTAGGGATTATAAAAGTACTGAAAGGACTGACTCCCTTTCACATTTAAAAAATATACATAAATAGAACATGTGTGTGTGTTTAGTCACTCAGCTGTGTCTGACGCTTTGCAACCCATGGACTGTAACCTACCAGGCTCTTCTGTCCATGGGATTCTCCAGGCAAGAATTCTGGAGAGGGCTGCCATTTTCTTCTCCAAAATAGAACATATATACATGCAACTTACTAATTATAAAACAATAATCTATTTTATTATTATAGTCATTCTAAGAATTAGATCATAGTAGCATCCTGACTGGGGCTTCCCAGGTGGCACTAGTGGTAAAGAACTTGCCTGCCAATGCTGGAGATGTAAGAGACGCAGCTTCAATTCCTGGGTGGGGAAGATCCCCTGGAGGAGGGCATGGCAACCCACTCCAGTATTCTTGCCTGGAAAAATCCTACGGGCAGAGGAGCCTAGCGGGTTGTATCCTATAGGGTCATGCAGAGTCAGACACGACTGAAGCAACTTAGCAGGCAGCATCCTGACTCCCTGAAAGGACACCATCCCCTTGATAACTATCCTGAGTTCTGCTTTACTTTCTGATTTTATCACCTGTAGGTACATCCTTCACTAAATATTTTATTTTGTTTTGCTTTTGAAATTTATATTAATGAAAACATACTTTAATAACCCATAAGGGAAAAGAAACTGAAAAAGAATATAGTATAGCTGAATCACTTTGCAGTATACCTGAAACACAATATTGTAAATGAACTATATACTTCAATAAGAAAAAGAAAACATACTTTATTCTACTGTTATGCTTCCTTCACTCAGCATTGTTTTGAAACGCATTATGTCATTGTGTTCAGCTGTAGTTGTTCCTTTTTATTGCTGTATGAAAACACTGCAATATAAAAAATGATCCTTTCTGTTGCTGATGGATATTTGGGTTGCTTCCCAGTTTTGTTTTTTTTTTTCCATGATGCTGTACAGCTACTATCTGTATATTCTTGTACCTGTCTCCTGGTGTACACAGTTAAGAGTTTTTCTAAGGTATACCCAGGCGTGAGTCATAGACTGTGCATGTCATCAACTTTAGCAGAAAATGGCAAACTCTTTTTCAAACAGTACTGATTTATACTCCCATCAGCTGTGTACCGCCAAGTCTTGCCAACACTGTCAGATCTTCTCCCCACCAATCCGCCCCAATCTGGCTGCCTGTTATTGTATCTCGTTGTGGTTTTAGTTTTCTTATTTCCTGATGATGAATGACGTTGAGTACCTTTTCATATATTTGTTGGCCTTTTGGATTTCGACTGTTTAAGTCTCTTGTCTTTATTTTAAAATGTTCTATGAGACAGTTTCAATATCATCGCCTTTTTGTTGCAGTCGACAACCAGTCATTGAGGTAGGTGGAATCTCAAACTCAAGCCTCAGCTGTAGCCTGTTAGCAGAAAACCAGCTGGTTTATTTAACAAAGTAACAAGTACTTTTACCTTAGCCAGGATTGATGAACAAGATCACCAATCAGAGTGGCTGGGCTGCCTTCCTCCTTGCAGGTGGTCATGTGAGCAAGGGCCACTGCCCCAGCATTCTCCTCAGACATCCCAGACGTAAACAGACGCGTCCTCAAACCTTGCATCCTCCTGCTTAACCGCCAATTTCAAACTTCCAAGACCTGCCCTGCCGGGTCGGAAGAAACAATTTCATTGGCCCTCTCTTTCACTTCCTCGGTCCCTTTAAGGACTTGGGCAGGGCCTGGTTGAGATAGAACTGTCCATCATACGAGCGGGAACACTGATTGGTCCAGATGTGACTGGCCCCACCCACGCCGTTGCCAGTGTTCAAACGCTGCCGCGGGAGGCACGGGGTAGAGCTGCGCGCAAATATCGCGGTAGGCTGAAAGGTGAGTCTGGTCTCCCCAAGCCCAATTCTCCCTCACCCCACTTTGCAAGACCAAGGGAAGGGCCTCCTCCACCACACCAACCCCGGCTTTGCCTCTCTCAGCAGGAGGGCGGCGGTCCCGCCCTGAGGGCTGCGGGGGGTCGGGAAGGTCTTTCCAGGCTGGCGGTGCAAGGCCATATCCCCCGTCGCAGTCGAGGGGTTGGCCAGGCTGTGCTGCGGCTAGAGGAATTTCCTTTCTCCAGCGGGGTGGGGTCCTGTGTTTCTTCTGCCCTGCCTCCTGTCGGCATTGCTAGTCGGGGCTGGCAGCGCCTTAGAGTGTGTGACCTTAACTTACTTTGGTGTCTTCATACTCTCCGCCCCAACCCGTCACCGCCTACTTCCTGCCTCTGTCACTGTTCCAGTCCTGTGTGGTTTCCCAGATACTGTTAGAGAAGCCCAGGGCTTGCCTCAGAACCTTAGCTCTGGCTGTTCCCTCTGACCCCAGGATACTTTTGTTTACCCAAATATCAGCAAGGCTTGCTGCTACTCCCTTCAGATCTTGGCTCAAATGTTAACCTGTTCAGTGAAGTAGTGTTGGAGAAGACTCTTGAGAGTCCCTTGGACTGCAAGGAGATGAAACCACTCAATTCTTAAATCAGTCCTGAACATTCTTTGGAAGGACTGATGCTGAAGCTCCAATATTTTGGCCACCTCATGCGAGGAATTGACTCCTTAGAAAAGATCTTGATGCTGGGAAAGATTGAAGGCAGGAGGAGAAGGGGACGACAGAGGATGATATGGTTAGATGGCATCACTAACTCGATGGACGTGAATTCGAACAAGCTCCCTGAGTTGGTAATGGACAGGGAAGCCTGGTGTGCTGCAGTCAATGGGGTCGCACAGAGTCGGACAAGACTGAACTGAACAGTGAAGTTACTCTGACTACACTGTTATACACACACCACCATGCCCCAATTCCTTCATTTGTTTTTTCTTATTATTTTTTTAACCCCATAGCTTCCAACATACCTGTATTATGTAATTTACTTATTTTCAATTATTTGTTCAATAACTGTTTATTAGCATTTATATGCCAGGCTATATATGTCCCCATTTTATTAGGATAAAAGTCCCTGACCTGGTGGAGCTTATATTCTAAGGGGGGTTGTTGTTGTTCTGTGGTTAAGTCATATCTGACTCTTTGTGATCACATGGACTGCAGCTTGTCAAGCTTCCCTGTCCTTCATTTTCTCCCAGAGTTTGCTCACACTCATGTCCATTGAGTCAGTGATGCCATCCAACCATCTCATCCTCTGTCACCCCTTCTCCTCCTGCCCTCAGTTTTTCCCAGCATCAGAGTCTTTTCCAGTGAGTCAACTCTTTGCGTCAGGTGGCCAAAGTGTTGGCGATTCAGCATCAGTCCTTCAAATGAATATTTAGGGTTTATTTTTTTTAGGATTGACTGGTTTGATTTCCTTGCTGTCCAAAGCACCCTCAAGAGTCTTCTCCATCACCACAATTCAAACGCATCAATTCTTGGGTGCTCAGCCTTCTTTATGGTCCAGCTCTCATATCCGTACATGACTATTGGAAAAACCATAGCTTTGGCTCTACAGTCCTTTGTTGGCAAAGTGATCTCCTTTTTAATATGCTGTCTAGATTTGTCATATAGCTTTTCTTCCTAGGAGCAAGCATCTTTTAATTTCATGGCTGCAGTCACTGTCTGCAGTTATAAAACAAATTTTAAGTAAGTGAGTATGTCAGATAAGTGTTGCAGTGTTACTCCTGTTACACTGAATAAAAGTCTGATTTTTAATCTGTGTCACCAGACTGAGCTCCCAAGACCCAGTGGTGGCTGATTTTTCACCTCCCTACCCATGCTATCTTGAGGGAAAGCTCAGGATCTCTCAAACCCTTCCCGTTGAAATCTGCGGATAACCTCCTCCTGTCTCCTTCCACCCCCAGTGGGGAGATGCTGAAGTTCAAGTATGGAGCACGGAATCCGCTGGACGCCGGTGCTGTTGGATCCATTGCTAGCCGGGCCTCCAGGCTGAATCTTTTCTTCCAGGTAACAGACTGGCTTGTCTACTTTGCTCACCTGTGTGTGTTTCCTTGGAACCTCTTTGTGAAAGAGGTTATAGGAATTTGTTAGAGGACTGAGGTGGATCTAGGAGACATCCCATTTGGTGTTTTATATATGCTGAAAGTTGTGGAAAAAGGAGCCGTTGTGCCAGAAGTAAGTAGCTGAACTTGCCCTGGAAGGGGGACCTTTTTGAGGATTTCACACATGTTACACTTTTGCACTAAAGTTTGCCCTTTTATTAAAGAAGGAAAAGTAAATGAACAAAAACACTCTTTTGACTGGAATTTCTATAGGTGTAACCCTATAGAAATATAGAAATCTTTTTCATTCAAGGGATGTTTATGTTTTAAAAAAGTTTTGATAAATACCAAACCTGTACAACCCACATCCCTCTCAAGATATAGACCATTTCCATCACCCCCCAAAAGATGAAAACTTAATGTTGTGAGATTTTTTTCCCAAGTAGATTTCTAATTCTTTTGTTTGTTGTAGAAATCCTTGTTTGATAAGTCAAAGAGAAAATACAGATAGTGGTGAAGGTTTAGGTTTGAATCCTGGCCCCAGAATGTGTTAGCTGTGTTACCTTGGGTGAGTCAGTTGCCTTCTCTAGATCCATTTTCCATTCTTTGTATTATAATAGAAGTTATAGCACCTAATTTACAAAGTTATGAGGATTAAATGATATAATGTACTTAGTTCTTGCCCAGCTCTTGGTAAGCCCTTTATAAATGATAACTATTATTAATGATGAGTGTAGAAATAGTATTAGCTACAGTAATAATAAATTTATGTTCACTACTAAATAAGGCATTTTTGTAGGATTATCTGTATGATGATAAATCTAAGGTGATTTACAATGTTATATTAGTTTCACTACTAATATGTTCTTGAGGACATTTTCACCAAGATATTGGTATTGGGGAATGTTTAACCAGATCAGAATGAGGACAGTGAAATCTTATGTTGTTCTGTGGGTCACCATTTAAGTCGAGGTATTTTTCTCTTATGAATGGTCTATTTTTAACCTCAACTGACCGGAGCGCTACCACTTTTTAACCCATTAATCGTTTTACTCCTAAACTTCCAACTTACGACAAAATTCTTATAATGTGCAGATATGGAGAGGGACAGAGATTTGCTCAGAATCACGCAGCTTTTAAATGACAAAGCCATACCCCATTTTTGGTGTGGGTGTGTAACTGCTGGGCAACATTGCCAGTGTATATCAGAGTTTAGTAAGTATATCTTGTATTTAAATGTTATTATACCAGCAAAGATTGTGTGTAAATCCCCAATTCATCCTTTTTTTTTTTTTTAACAAGTTCCCCCCTGCACCCTGAAAAGCTGTTATTTGCAAGCATAGCATAACCCCAGCACTTGCTTTAATATAAGCATATTAAGGATACTGTTTTTGCCCCCCATTCAGATGAAACCCACTCCTTCTTGGGTGGGACTTGAACCCAGCCAAAACTCAGATTGGGACTTGAGTCCATCATTCCTGAGTTAGGAGGGGACTTGAACCCACTTTTGTTGTTTTTTTAAAAATTTTTTATTTTGGCTGCACTGGGTCTTCTGTTGAAGCGTGTGGGTCAAACTCACTGTCTTTTAATTGAAACTGCTCCCCTTGTGTCAGAACTTACTGAAGCTCAGGTTCTTTTCATCACGGAAACGGCAGAGTGAGTTTATTAGCAGAGGATGCTTGTGAGAGATACAAATGGTCTGGCAGGGGAGCTCAGCACCGAGAACAAAGAGGGCTATATTTTCATAGTCAGAGAAGAAATGGGGAGTGGAATAGACCACCTTCCTCATTTTGGGGTAGATGTTCAAGGCTTAGGTCTTTAGTTCTCCTTTGACCCTGTATGGTTAATGAGGACTGTCACGGTGCTATTTAAATCATATGTATATTAACAGAAGAAAGGTAGTATATACTAAAATATGGTAATTCATCTCAGGTTTTGATATTATGGCCCCTTTTACCTAGTTTCTTTCCCTTTCCTCCTCTATTCCTGTCTTGACTACCTGCAGGAATGCTATTCTTCAAGGACTCCCTGACTTCATCTTAACAAGATTCAGACCTGATATCTATTGTCTTGTGTTTAAACTGTTGGCACCTGTGGCTTGAGTGTGCCTGGCAATTGGATGCATCTGGTCTTCCTTCAGGGTAGTGTAGATTGTTACTGAGGTGAAAGTGTCAGTCGCTCCTTTGTGTCTGACTCTTTGTGACCCCATCCATGGACTGTAGCCTTCCAGGTTCCTCTGTCTGTAGCATTCCCCAGGCAAAAATACTGGAGTGGGTAGCCATTCCCTTCTCCAGGGGATCTTCTCAATCCAGGGACTGAACCCAGGTCTCCCGCATTGCAGGTGGATTCTTTACCGTCTGAGCCATCAGAGGAGATTGTTGCTAGGTTACTGGGTTCTTTTCTAGAGTGGTCATTAGCTTACAGCAGTCTCCCAAATGCCCTTAAAATTCCCTCTTGTCTTTAATTCCCTCATGGGATTTCTAAACTAACTGATTATCCCGCTTTATCCCTATCCCAGTGTCCTTTTAATGAGGTTTGGATAGAGAGTAGTGGTTTTGTTTTCCATTTAGACAGGGTCTCAGTTTCTACTTAACAGTAAGTACCGCCCCAAGAGTTGCAGGTCAGTGGTTGGCAGGCTTTTAGATTTTTGAGCCAGCAAAATTTTACAAGTTTGCTAGGGTGACTGAGGTTTGCCAACTTTGTATTTTGCTAAGTAAGGGATGTAAAAAAACACAAAAAAGAAAACGCTATTATCTTCTGGTCCTTTTATTTCATAAAGAGAGGACATTTTAAAAAACACCGCCAGGGCAAGGATGTTGTTTCAGAATAAAGGACCATTTTACAATTTGAATACACTTAGCTTAAAAGAGTCATCGTGCAGTGTTCACTTTTTCTTACTTTATGACAGACTTGAAAACTTTTTTAAGACTCAGTACTGTACTTGGGAACTGCTGCTTAGTTAGTCTAAACTCATCAAAGGAATCTTATTTTCCCAGGAAGTGGCAGAACTCGAAAGTGACAGATAGTGTGGTCTGACTTAGTGCTTCACAAACCTGGCTGAGGTCTGACTATCTTGGTAGGACGTCTTACTGAAATATATTCTCAGCTGCTGCTGCTGAGTCACTTCAGTCATGTCCGACTCTGTGACCCCCTAGACGTCAGCCCACCAGGCTCCCCCGTCCTGGGATTCTCCAGGCAAGAACACTGGAGTGGGTTGCCATTTCCTTCTCCAGTGCGTGAAAGTGAAAAGTGAAAGTGAAGTCACTTAGTCGTGTCCAACACTTAGCGACCCCATGGACTGCAGCCTACCAAGCTCCTCCATCCACAGGATTTTCCAGGTAAGAGTACTGGAATGGGGTGCCATTGCCTTCTCCAATATTCTTAGCTACAGACTGGTAATGGTACCTGAGAATCTGGTTTTTGGTTTTTAATAAAGTTCTCCAGGTGATTCAAAGTCATGTTACTGAGCCCAAGCTTGTTCTGCTTGCCACAGGACAGGCCAATAAATCAGGAGATGAGTTGTTGGAACAAGGAATGACTACTTGTATTGGAAAGCTAGCAGATGGAGAAGATGGCAGACTGGAATCTCAGAAAGCCATCTTCCCTCAGTTGGAGGGCTAGCTCCGTTTATATACAAGAGGGGGAGGGGCTCACTGTGGCACCAACCAGTGGCTGAGCAGGACCACAGAAAGTGGGTGGTTGACAGTCGCTCACTAACGGTTGCTTGCTTGGGGGAGGGGCCCACGGTGGCACTGACCAATGGCTGAGCAGGACCACAGAAAGTGGGCGGTTGACAGTTGCTCACTAACGGTTGCTTGCTTGGGGGAGGGGCCCACGGTGGCACTGACCAATGGCTGAGCAGGGCCACCGAAAGTGGGTGGTTGACAGTCGCTCACTAACGGTTGCTTGCTTGGGCGCAGGTCCACAGTTGAGCTGAGCAGGACCGCTATAGCTTGTGCCTGGCTTGCAGCTATTGCACCCAGAGTAGGAAGGTGCCACACGGCGCCAGAAAGCGGCAGGGTCTGAGGAAGTCCGGGCTGCTCTAGAATCGTCCTCCAGCCCTCGGTAGAGCCTGGTTGTCTGAGGCGGCAGACGCTGTGGCCTTAGCTGGCTTCACTGGTCAGTTTGTGGCTGATGAGGTGGCTCAGGAGCTGGCATCCTGGGAGCGGAGCTCCCGTCTGCCACTTGGGCGGCGGGTCAGTGGTGGTGTGGACCGGCCTGATGGGCTGGGTTCAGCCGCGTGCAGAGAGGTGCAGTGGAGTGGCCCCTGCTTTAATGGTGTGTGCTGGCCAGTGCCAGGGAGCGGGCAGGAAAGGGCCCATTATGCTGGTTCTGGCTGAGGAGCCTGCTGTTGGGCTGTTACAGTCAGTTTGTTTCTGTCATCCGGGGCTGTGTAACAAAGCACTCATAAAGTTTAAAGCAACAATGATTTACTTTTTCTTACAATTCTGTGGGTTGGCTGCATGCAACTAGGTGATTCTTCTGCTGGGGTCACTCATGGGTTGTACTGAGTTGGGAGCTTGGCTGGGACTAAAACCTCTGGTTGCCGACTGCTGCCTGGGGTGCCTCAGTTCGTCCAGTGACCTCTTCTCCAAAGGTCTTTTGTTACTCACTCAGTCTAATCTGGGGCTTATAATTTTTTTCTGTGAATAGTACGTTGGCCCTAAGGTCTCTGCTGCATCTACTGAACTCTGCCATTCTATTTATAGCACAGAAGCTCGGACAGTAAAGAATCTGCCTGCAATGCAGGAGACCTGAGTTCAATCCCTGGGTTTGGAAGATCCCCTGGAGAAGCAAATGGCAACCCATTCCACTGTTCTTGCCTGGAGAATTCCATGGACAGAGGAGCCTGGCAGGCTACAGTCCATAGGGTCGCAAAAAGCTGGATGAGACTGAACCGCTAACACACACACAGAGCCATAGATGATGTGTAAATTAATAGGCATGGCTGTGTTCCAATAAAGCTTTATTTATAAAAACAGACAGTGGGTGAGATTTGACTGTCACCTGGTCTAGCCCATGCTTCTCAACTTGGCAGCTGGCTTCCCCAAAAAAACAAAAGTAGAAGCTGCCAGATTTCTTAAGGGCTGCATCTTGAACTGGCAGTGGGTCACTTATGTTACATTCTGTTGGTTCACATGAGTCATGGCGACAGCACAGATTCATGGGGAGAAGAAATAGACTCTGACGCTTGATGGATGCAGTGGCAAGTGCTTTTAGAGTTAGAAGAATTGTTGGTGGCCAGCTTTGCAGACAGAGAAGGCAATGGCAACCCACTCCAGTACTCTTGCCTGGAAAATCCCATGGATGGAGGAGCCTGGTAGGCTGCAGTCCTTGGGGTCGCTAGGAGTCAGACATGACCGAGCGACTTCACTTTGACTTTTCACTTTCACTCATTGGAGAAGGAAATGGCAACCCACTCCAGTATTCTTGCCTGGAGAATCCCAGGGACGGGGGAGCCTGGTGGGCTACCGTCTGTGGGGTCGCACAGAGTTGGACATGACTGAAGTGACTTAGCAGCAGCAGCTTTACAGAGAGAACTACATATAGTCCGTGGCACATGGGATTCATTGCTCTGGACCAGGGGTGTGAATTCATGTCTTGGGTGGCCAGACAGTGAGTGTAAAGGAGTCAGATGGGCTAGATGGAAGAGCTGTGAGTTGAGTCTGCAGTGAAATGCCGAACACATCCACTTTCTAGAGGGGCAGTGCTCCTCAGCTACAGCTCAGCCTCCCCAGGCAGGAATGTGGTACAGTGTTGCCAGATCTGCCTGTGTCCCATAAGAAGCTAGAAATCCTCCCCTCCCCCCTCCCCTTTTCTTTTGGTGTGAAATCTCCTGATTTTTCAATATTGGCAGATAAATTATTTTAAGTGTAACAGGCCAAACAAAACATGTCTGTGGGCTAGATGCAGTCTGCCAGTTTGCAACTGTTGCCTGAGATCATGAATAAATTCAGCTTTAGCGCAGTCACTCCATTCACACGACCCTTTATTCGAGTGAATTAAAGAAACTGAAGTTATGTTAAACAAACCTGTAGGAGCACAGGGAGGAAGAGGCATTCATTGTGTCCTCCTGAAGAGGCACGGAGATGTGACAGGACCAGCAGGGTCTGGGGTAAATGTCCCCATGAGCCTCAGACTGCTAAGACAGAAGAACTGTTTCTTATTCATGGCATGCTGATGAAGTTTTCCTCCCCAGGTGCAGGAGGAAGAAGCCCACATACAAGTGATAACTTAATGACTGTCAGTGGACGTCACTTTAAAGGATGAGGCCACCAAATTCTGCTGCTAGCATGTGTCTTGAGCAGTTAGTTGAGCTGGTGGCTTGCAATTTACTCTGTGTGGATATTATTGATCAAAGCTTTTCATTATTGACAGTGTCTCCATCTGCTGTTTGCTGTTTTTAGGGGAAACCATCCTCCATGACTCAACAGCAGATGGCTCTTCTTTCCCGAGAAGCGATATTAGATGCCCTCTTTGTTCTCTTTAAAGAATGCAGTCAGCCGGCTCTGATGAAGATTAAGCACGTGAGCAACTTTGTCCAGAAGTGTAAGTGTGGGGAGAACTTTTTCTTCAAAATTGTCCTGCTTAGTGAGAATTAAAAGGATACCGGAGGTGGGATGCGTTTGTGGTCGGAGGGAGTGGGTGGGAATTTCTGCTTTAGAAGGACCCAGCTTCAAGGTCAGCTTCCACCTGCTGTTGCTAGGAGACTAGATAAATCAGGCCTCTTGATTGCGAGTGATAGAAACTCAACTCAAACTAGCTTAGGCCAAAAGTGAATTAAAAAAAAAAATTATTGAAGTATAGTTGATATACAGTGTTGTGTTAATTGCTATTGTACAGTGAAGTGATTCAGTTATATATTTTTTCATATTCCTTTCCATTATGGTTTACCATGGGATATTCAATATAGTTCCCTATGCTATAGAGTAGAACCTTGTTGTTTATCCCCAAAAGTAAATTTTTTTGGCTCATGAAACTGAGAGTCCAGGGATGGGTCAAATTTTAGGCATGGCTGGTTCCAAGGACTTAAATAATGTCTCTGGCTCCTTCATTATACTCACTCAAGGCTGATTATTCATTAGGCATTGTGAATACAGTGCTTAGCATCTACAGTATTCAAAATTATTGTAATCTAGACATCCTCCATGGCAACTCAGGGTTTTCAAATACAAAAGTGGAAGCTGCCAGGCCTTCTCAGGCCTTAGGTCTGGAAGGGACATAGAATCTCTTTGGCTACATTCCATGGTTTGCAGTGAGGCAGTAAAGCCACTCAGATTTCTTGTGCCAGGGAACAACAAAGCACATGCATTGGGCACTGTCTTTGGATGCTGGCTACCCCAACTGTACCCCGCATGTATCGTCTGCTGTCTCTATTCATGCAGTCTCGGGGAAGATTCTCATTGGCTCTGCTTTGGGTCACTTGCCCATCCCTTGACCAGTCACTGGGCCAGGGTGTGAAGTGTTGTGATTAGCCTCATGTAGGTGCCCAGGGGTCCCAGGACACCATGATCACTGGGACCTCATGGAATGGGGGATGTGCTATTGCCTAAAGGACCTGGGAGTTTTGAATGGATAAAACCAATATATGTCTAGTAAGTGACATCGGTATTTACATGTAACTTGTTTGTTCTCAGTGTCCTCATCTGAACGGTGGGGGAAAAGGCGTATCTGATATAGTGATTGAATGAAATAGTGCACAGTCCAGGCTTATGTTGCCTGCCATGTAGAGACACTCAGTAAATGTTGCCCAATAATGATAACCATAAACCTCAATATTTAACACACTGTGTACGTTTAACTTTAAAATGCACTTGGCATATTTGTTCATGATTCTGTATTTGTTTGAATAAGCTCCCACCTTATTTTGTTGAGTATTTAAACTCTCAAATAGGGAGTGGGAGGGGAAGGAGAAGCTTGTGACAAGACTAATTTACTGAGCTTTCAACATGTACCTTCTTGAGATTGCCCTCCAGTTAGGATCCTCCTTTAAAGCAGTGGATCTTCTAGACTCATTCAGTAATCAGGAGGCTAGACTTGTGAAATGTAGATTTTTCTAATAGATTTCTCTTTCAGGAAACTGTTTCGTATTTTTAAAGAGGCTTCCTGGAGAGGATGGTTGAGAGATTATGATTGGAAAAGGGTGATTGCATTAGTATGTTTTTTTTTCCCCCCTCTTTGAGTTTCTGTTTTGGAATGTAAGCTTCATTCTTCTGTGGGAAGAAGGGTCCAACAGCTGTTACCACATAAGGTTCTTGAGACTTGCCATAGAGATGGAAAATTTCCTCTGGGACTGTTGGAGGAAGTGAGTGCCTGAAGCAGTGCCCCTAGTTTGGGCCAAGGGAGGTCAGGGAGCTGGCATTTGGGAATCAGGGAGGAGTTCTTTCTTTCTTAATTGCTAAGCTAGCCTTTTTGCCTAAAACTGGGTCTGATACACAGAAGGTGGGGCTTCCTAGGTGGTACAGTGGTGAAGAATCCTGCCAGTGCAGGAGATGCAAGAGACATGGGTTTGATCCCTGAGTCGGGAAGACCGCCCTGGAGAAAGAAGTGGCAACCCACACCAATATTCTTGCCTGGAAGATTCCATGGATGGAGGAGCCTGGCAGGCTACAGTCCATGAGGTCGCAAAGTGTCAGACATGACCAAGTATGCATGGACACACACAGAAGGTGTTTAGTAAATATTGGTTGACTATTGCCAATGAACAGAATAAGTAGCAAAATCTTAAGTAGTGTATCACATATTTTATGTAAAAAATAAACAAGTGTGATGTTAAAACACACAGACAAAAAAAAAGTGTTGATAATTGTTAAAGTTGGACTTTTCTCGGTGATTTGACAATGGCTGAAATTTTACCTTCTTTCAGCTACATTCACTGCAATCAAACTCTTGTATATGTTCACAACCTTAGTACTTTGGGCAAAATACTACTTTTAAGTTCCTCCCCGCCACCCCCTGCTCCCCCGCTGCCATTGTAAGCATATTACAAAGTTACTTGTAGCAACATGGATGGACCCAGAGATTATCATACTAAGAGAAAGACAAATATCATGTGATATCACTTATATGTGGAATCCTAACAACTGATACAAGTGAACTTATTTACAAAATAGAAATGAGACTTAGAGACATAGAAAACAAACCTATAGTTACCAAAGTGTAAGGTGGGGAAGGGATAATTTAGGAGTTGGGATTAACATATACACACTACTGTACATAAAATAGGTAACCAACAAGGACCTATAGCACAGGGAACTATATTCAATATCTTGTAATAACCTATAATGGAAAAGAATCTAAAAAAAAAAAATCTATGTAGCTGATCACTTTGCTGTATACCTGAAAACACATTGTAAATCAACCATATTTCAATAAAAATTAAAAAAAATACAAAGTTAAATATAAAAGATCAGAATGGAAGAAAATCCCTCAAAATCTTACCTAAGATAACCACTATTAATGGTTCAGTGCATAGTATTACAACTTTTCTTTTGTCCTTATAAGATATTTATTGTGGAATTGTTCAAACATATCTTAACAGTAAAGAGACAAGTGTCATAAACCCCCACATACCAATCAAGTAGCTTGAACAATGAACCGTTTACCATGTGTGTTCTAACATTTTTTTGTTGTTCAGTTGCTCAGTTGTGTCCAACTCTTTGTGACCACATGGACTGCAGCACACCAGGCTCCTTTGTCCTTCACTATCTCCTGGAGTTTGCTCAGACCTCATGTCCTTTGAGTTGGTGATGCCATCCAACCATGTTATCCTGTGTCGCCCCCTTCTATGTGCAGTCTTTCCTGGCATCAGGGTCTTTTCTACTGAGTCGGTTCTTTGTACCAGGTGGCCAAAGTATTGGAGCTTGAGCATCAGTCCTTCCAATGAATATTTAGGGTTGATTTCCTTTTGGATTGACTGGTTTAATCTCTTTTGTTGTCCAGGGGACTCTCAAGAGTCTTCTCCAGCACTACAGTTTGAAAGTATCAGTTCTTTAGTGCTCAGTCTTCTTTATGATCCAACACTCACTTCCGTATATGACTACTGAAAAATCCATAGCTTTGACTATATGGACCTTTGTTGGCAAAGTGATGTCTCTGTTTTTTAATACACTGTCTATGTTTGTCATAGATTTTCTTCCAAGAAGCAAGCATCTTTTAATTTCGTGGCTGCAGTCACCATCTGCAGTGATTTTGGAGCCCAAAAAAATAAAGCTTGTCACTTTCCATTTGTTTCCCTATTTATTTGCCATGAAGTGATGGGACTGGATGCCATGATCTTAGTTTTTTGAATGTTGAGTTTTAAGCCAGCTTTATCACTCTCCTCTTTCACCTTCATCAAGAGGCTCTAACATTACTCTGGTTTAATTTTATGCAGAATGGGTTGTATGTTGATAATGTTTTGCCACTAGCTTTGCTCACCTAGCAATATATTTACTCAACAAATATTTGTGGAGCACTCGCTATGTGCCTGCTGCTGTTTTGAGTACTGGGTTTACAGTAGTGATCAGAACAGAAGCAAATCCTTGTCCTTGAAGTGTCCTTGTCACTCCAGTGGAGGTTGAGCTACTTAATTCTTTTAAATATGTGTCTAGTATTCTTTTCTGTGTGTGAACTCTTATGCTATTCCCACTTTCCTATTAATTGTAGACCTCTACATTGTTTCTGATTTTTCTGTAACAAGCAGTGCCCATCATGAGTACCTTGACATGTGTGTCTTTTGAGCATTTCTGTGAAGGATGCACTCCTGGAGATTGAAGTGTTGCAATGCTGAGTTCAAAAAGGAAGCAGCACTCAGCTGTGGTGGCTTCTGCTCCCTGGGTCTATGTATGTATCTGGGAAGATCATCCTCTGACTGTGTCTTCATTTCATGCTTTGGGTCTTTTGCTCCCTGGGTCTGTGTATGTATCTGGGAAGATCATCCTCTGACTGCGTCTTCATTTCATGCTTTGGGTCTTTTGCTCCCTGGGTCTATGTATGTATCTGGGAAGATCATCCTCTGACTGCGTCTTCATTTCATGCTTTGGGTCTTTTGCTCCCTGGGTCTATGTATGTATCTGGGAAGATCATCCTCTGACTGCGTCTTCATTTCATGCTTTGGGTCTTTTGCTCCTGGGTCTATGTATGTATCTGGGAAGATCATCCTCTGACTGCGTCTTCATTTCATGCTTTGGGTCTTTTGCTCCCTGGGTCTATGTATGTATCTGGGAAGATCATCCTCTGACTGCGTCTTCATTTCATGCTTTGGGTCTTTTGCTCCCTGGGTCTATATATGTATCTGGGAAGATCATTCTCTGACTGCGTCTTCATTTCATGCTTTGGGTCTTTTGCTCCCTGGGTCTATATATGTATCTGGGAAGATCATTCTCTGACTGCGTCTTCAATTCATGCTTTGGGTCTTTTGCTCCCTGGGTCTATATATGTATCTGGGAAGATCATTCTCTGACTGCGTCTTCATTTCATGCTTTGCGTCTTTTGCTCCCTGGGTCTATATATGTACTGGGAAGATCATCCTCTGACTGTGTCTTCATTTCATGCTTTGGGTCTTTTGCTCCCTGGGTCTATGTATGTATCTGGGAAGATCATTCTCTGACTGCGTCTTCATTTCATGCTTTGGGTCTTTTGCTCCTGGGTCTATGTATGTATCTGGGAAGATCATTCTCTGACTGTGTCTTCATTTCATGCTTTGGGTCTTTTGCTCCCTGGGTCTATATATGTACTGGGAAGATCATTCTCTGACTGCGTCCTCATTTCATGCTTTGGGTCTTTTGCTCCCTGGGTCTATATATGTACTGGGAAGATCATTCTCTGACTGCGTCCTCATTTCATGCTTTGGGTCTTTTGCTCCCTGGGTCTATATATGTATCTGGGAAGATCATTCTCTGACTGCGTCTTCATTTCATGCTTTGGGTCTTTTGCTCCCTGGGTCTATGTATGTATCTGGGAAGATCATTCTCTGACTGCGTCTTCATTTCATGCTTTGGGTCTCTACCTCAATGTCAGTTCCCACCGTGTTCATAGTGGGCGGGGATGAAGGTTGATGTGGTTTTGTAGTCACAGAAGTTGGTGGGAAGAGAAGTTGTGCAGGATTATTTTTCACAGTCATAGACACGAGTTTAGCATCTCACCTGTTCACCTTGATAATCCCAAAGTGTTTGAATGACAACATTGTGACTTGGAGTGGTTTCTCAGAATTCTGAGAGCATCGTGGTGGTTTTGCCTGCAAGCAGTTTTGTCTGCTGGGGTGATTGAGATGCCTGGCGGTTGCTGGAGACAGACCCAGGGTTATTAAGTTGGACAGTGCTGTAAGCAATGCGGGGGCCCAAGGCCTTACAGAAGAATCAAGAGAGGCTGGCCTTGTGTGCAGGCAGTAATGAAATCATGTTCAAGTCAGAAAGTTGCAAGCCTGCATATTTGGGAAATTAATAATTCAAAAACTCAAGTACTAGATCTGAGAGAAACTTGGAAGAAGACAGGGAAGAAAGACGGGGCTTGACACAGTGATGTAAAGGCAAAAGGAGAATATTGTGCAGCATTCAGTTCGGCTTCTGCATGGAATTCTCCCTGAAGGCACTCTAGATTTATTTTTTTGTTTTACGATGGTCATGATGAATTGAAACAAATCTGCTCACCCCTCTTGCCTGATTCCTCAAGGGAACAAGAGAAGACGTTTTTAGGGTGACAAGTTAGAGGTGTTGTTAGTGCAGTGGTGCTCATCACATGTGCCTTTGATCCAAGTGAATTCAACTCCACCCATGCAACAAAGGAAGGGAGTGGGTAACAACAATTAAAATTGCATTGGCTAATTCATCATTGTGCTGCCAAATGACTGTGGTTATGAAATGACTCTTCCCTTTGTTGGATTCTGTTCCTTTCCCTGTGTGAACAACTTGCCGAGTGAATGTAGCTCCCAGTTGTATCTGGTGCCCTTCCACAGAAATGGCTCCAGTGTACCTGTGGGATTTCAAGAGTCCCTTGGTCTTTACCATGACACCTTTCTGAGGGATTCTCCAGGATAATTTTGATGACATGTTACTCTTGTCTTCCTTTGGAGTGTAACCCTGTATATGATGCAGTTTCCCTGTAATGGACGGGATTGAAGGATTTGGTCATTCACAGCTGTTCTGCTCTATTCCTTTTTTAAAAAAATATTTTATTGAAGTATAGTTGATTTACTAATGTTATATTAATTTCTGATATACAGCAATACAGTTATATAATACATATATATATATATTCTTTTTCATATTCTTTCCCATTATGGTTTATCACAGAATATTGAATATAGTTCCCTGTGCTATACAGTAGGACCTTGTTGTTTATTCATCCTATAAATAACAGTTAATATCTGCTAATCCCAAGCTCCCAGTCCTTCCCCCCACCCAATCCCTTTGGCAACCACAAGTCTTTTCTCTGTGTCTGTGATTCTGCTTCATAGCTATGTTCATTTGTATTTTAGATTCCATATGTAAGTGATATTATATGATATTTTGTTTTTCTATTTCTGACTTACTTTGCTTGTGTATGTTGCTGTTGTTTAGTCACTCAGTTGTGTCTGACTCTATGTGACTCTGTGCAACCCTGTGGACTGTAGCCTGCCAGGCTCCCCTGTCTATGGCATTCTCCAGGCAAGAACACTGGAGTGGGTTGCCATGCCTTCCTCCAGGGGTCCTTCCCAACCCAGGGAATGAACCCAGGTCTCCTGCACTGCAGGTGGATTATTTACTGTCGGAGCCGCCAGGGAAGCCAGACTTACTTTGCTTAGTGTGATAATTTTGCTGCAATGGTATCCATGTTGCTGCAAATGGTCTTCATCCTTTTTTGTGACTGAGTAGTATTCCACCGTATGTATATACCTCATCTTCTTTGTCTGTTCATCTGTTAGAGGACATTTAGGTTGCTTCCATGTCTTGGCTGTTGTAAATAGTGTTGCTGTGAACATGGCAGTGCATGTATCTTTTCAAATTACAATTTTGTCTGGGTATATGCCTAGGAGTGGAATTGCCGTATCGTATGTTAGCTCTATGCTCTATTTGTTGTGTTCTGAGGAACCTCTATACTGTTTTTCATAGTGGCTATACCAGTTTACATCCCCACCAACAGTGTAAGAGGCTTTTCTTTTCTGCACACCCTCTCCAGCATTTGTCATTTGTTGACTTTTCAATGATGGTCATTCTGACCAGTGTGAGATGGTACCTCATTATAGTTTTGATTTGCATTTCTCTAATATTTATGTTCCATTCTATTCTTTAGATCATTAGAATCACTATATATCTATCCTGTGATGCCCCGATTTAATGTTGTTAGTAAATGTATGTTAGATTCCAAATCTGCTACCTGTTTAGTCCATACTTTAAACATGGAGAATCTCTGACTGTTATGGGCTGAATGTTTTTAACGACTTTCCTGCTTCCTTCTCTGGTTTCCCAAATTCATATGTTGAGGCTCTGACCCCCTCAAAGTGGAGCCTTTGGGAGATAATTAGATGTAGATGAATTCATCAAGGTGGGCCCCATGATGGAATTCGTGTCCCTAAAAGAAGAGGAGGAGAGGTGAGGGCTCCTTCTCCTTCTACCACATGAGGAATACAGGGGCTGCCTGTCAGCCAGGAAGTGGGTTCTCAACAGACTCAGCCTGCTGGCCCTCACAGCCTCTAGAACTCTGAGAAATTAATGTCTGCTGTGTAAAGCACTTCATCTGTGGGTCTGATGCTTTCGTTAAAGCTTTCAGGGTAGAGGAAGACACGGGCTGAGAGATTGCATTTAGAAAAGGAGTAAGACTATGCTGAGAAAAGAGACAGTTGCAAACCCATCAAGCTGTGTGACACGTCAGCTCTGCAGGGCCAAGGCCAGGCCTCTGCTTGGTTCCTCAGGCTCAGGCTTTTTCTCCCTTGGTAGTGCTGCTACATACTATGTATGGCAAGGAGGGTATTTACTGACATGATGCAAGGGAGATAAGACCTGGGCTAATGGAGTAAAACTGAGTAGAACATATGGAATCAGGATGGAATTATCTGGAAGTCAACCCCAAAGTCGACTGAGGATGGGGATCACATGGCTCATATCCCATTATAAACCAGTCCAGACACCAATAACACGTTTGACCACACTCACTGCCCTGCAGCCCCCGGAGAGGGGGAGGAAAAGCATGATTTCTGTTCTCCTTCCCCTGTTTTCTTTATCTACAGGATTCAGATCATAGCTGCCATGGAAACTGTGCGTTGGAATTTCTGGAGCCCTTAATTTTAACTTAGCATAGAAAAACACTTTTGTGCTGATTTTATAATTATTCACGACAAGGAGAAAGTGACTAAATGTCTCCTGACAGTGAGGGAAGATACAGCAACGCTTTCTTCTTTCTTCCTTTCTTCTTGCTTTCATAAAGATACGAGTGTTTGAAGCACATTATGGATCCAGGAGTCACTCTTCCGTCTTTTGCAGATTCTGATATCATAGCTGAGTTGCAAGAGCTCCAACCTTCAGTGAAGGACTTTGAAGTGAGAAGTGTCGTAGGCTGCGGTCACTTTGCTGAAGTACAGGTGGTCAGAGAGAAAGCAACTGGGGATGTCTATGCCATGAAAGTCATGAAGAAGAAGGCCTTGTTGGCCCAGGAGCAGGTACGACCTTTTAACATCCAGCCTCCCCTTTCTGCACCAGCAGGTTCATTGCAGAGATGAGAATCTGCTGAATTGACACCTGGGATGGAGCCAGTTTTCCTCTGCATCCCTAGTTTTAATTACTATGGCACAGCCAGGAAGGTCTGAGCCTGCTTTCTTGAACTGATATTGACTAATTTTGAAGATTGACAGGCTCCCCTGGATTGCTTGATCTTGTTTTTATAGTTGCATATTATTCAGAACCAACTTGGCCTTTTCACTAATGAATTTGAGATGATCTTTTGTGACCATCCACTGGGGATTCAGAGATGTGCGTATTACGGGGTGAGTCAGATGGCCTTTGCTTTTGTACACATCTTATATATTTGTGTTGGGGGCATCTGTACTTGATTTTTTTTTTTTTTTGTATTTGGTTTTAAAACAGGCCTCTGAAGAAATTAAATTGTTCTGTGGCTAGGGAGTTGCCAGTCTGAGAGGAGGTGAGAAGTTATCTTTCTGGTTGTGATGTTTTTCTCTCTTTTTAAACAAGGCTGCTGCTCCCAGACTTTATTGATTCATTTGCCGTGTTTCTAGAGAGACGGCCATCAGCCTTGGTGTTCAGAGAGCAATTTATTAGTTACCCACGTTCGAGAGCACATCATGTGTCCAATAATGGACCGAGCTCCGTGGGAAGTCTTCAAAAGGAATCAAAGCTCTGTGGCTGTTAGTTTCAGGGTTTTAGCACAGCCTTGGGAAGTTGAGGAAAAATGGCAGATCCATAAAGCAGGCACTTAGGAGCTAAAGCATCACAAAAGAGGGAGCAGTTAGCAAATTCACAAATGACTGGATGAGGAAAGATGTGGGTGAGCCGGAGACAGGGGAGGTTCACATTGCTGAGAGGGAACATGGGCTCTGGGCAGGGAGAAGTGAGGAGAATATATTGGGTAGAAGTGTGGTATGTGTGCCGCTCTGGAGGTGTAAGTACGAGAATGCTATGCAGATGTATGTGTTTGTGTGTGTTTAGAAGTTTAGAACAAATAGACTGGAAAATGAGGAGAAGTAAGGACATTGGAGTTGGGAGGATGTGATTGGTGGGAAACCTTAAGAACTCTATTCTGGCTGCTGTGATAAAATATGCATCACATAAAATTTACCACTTTAACTATTTTTAAGTGTACAGTTCTGTGGCATTAAGTACTTTGGCAGTGTTGCATCACCATTACTACTGTCCATCTTTAGAACTTTTTCATCATCCTAAACTGAAACTCTGTACCCATTAAACAGTAACTCATCATCTCCCCAGAGAACTGCTTTTTGGAGTTGGAATTTAATTTGTGAGACTGTTGGGATTCATGTAGGCTTTTGGAAGCAGGAGGTTGGGATCAGGGTTTCAGCACTTCAGTGACTTTGTGTGACCTCTGGTCAGAGACACAGCAGAGGGCAGGAAGCTGCTTGTCAGAATCCGAGAATGCTGTGGCCTTTGTTCAGGAATGAAATGTGGGCAACTTCATAGAAAGGATACATGACAGGACATGGCAGATCATTTGGAAGAGAGGTGTGGAAGAGGCTCACTGAGCCTCCCAGCACCTGAGAACCACCTGTCATCAGGCCACACCTACTAAGCACCTGTTGGGTCTGGTGTGTCCTAGGTCCTTGGAAGAGGCCTTAGATGTAGCCTTGTGCTCCTTCTATTTCATATGGGCAATGGTGCATAGAAAAGGAAACAAATCCAGCACATCCCACACTGCAGGTGAGGGATGGGGAGCCTCGCCCAGCACATCCCACACTGTAGGTGAGCCTCGCCCAGCTGTGCTCCTCTAGGTCAATGACTTAAGTCACCCCGTGTGAGGTGTATTTTGGGGGATTAAAAAATCTCACATACCCAGGAGCTAATTAAAGCCACCCACCTGTTTGTTACCTGAGCCACACAGGACTATCACAGACAGGATGCTCTGTTCCTCTCATTGCATCCCAACAGGGGAGTCTCAGTTGTGGTTTGTCACATTCCTGAGGATGTCATGTTGGTATCTGCCACCCTTCTCCACTTCGGAGTTACTCCTTTCCTCTTTGTAATTGCATAGGTATTTTGGAAGGAGGTACTTTCAAACTGTGGAAGTACCTGTTTCTGATAAAACTTTGAATCCATCCGTTTATTTATATCTGTATGAACTTGTGTTTGCCTGTCAATGAGTTACAATCCATTCAGTATATGTTTTTATACTCAAATTGTTCCCAAGTTGGCCCATGAGAATCTCTTTAGGTTGGCTTTTGTATATCCTTTTGACATATTCTCTATCTTTGAATTCTGTGTTACTGTCTGATACAACAAGATGTTTGGGCTCTTAAACTCACTTTACCTGCCCCAGCCCCACAATCAGTCATTTCTCTGGGAGCCCTTTATTTTTTTATTTTTAATTTTAAGTGGAAAACAGTATTTAGAGGCCAAGGTCTGGGCACGAGGTGTTCTCTTTGCTACCAGGATGTCATTGCTGCCAGACTCCATGCAATGGACAAGGCCAGGAAATACATGTTCGTGTATGCAGTATACCTACCTCATACACACGAACATTACCATCTGTATTTATTTCTGTATCTACCTGTGTATATTGAAAACCATGTATTCACACCAACATCTCCAAGTCCTGTCCAGCTTCACAAGGTTTGTCTTGATTTTCACCCTTTCCATGTTTATAACTCCTCTGATATTACCTTCAGTATTTTTTACTTATTTTATGCAGCTGTGTCCATCCGTCCAGTCTACCTTGGACAGATGCTCAGATGTTCTAGGTCATCTAGACCTAGGTTGACTTCCTGCTCACACGTGAGCCTTTGATGCCCACACTGGTCTGCTCCACACGTGGTTGCTTCACTCCTCACCCTGCTCGGACCTGTCACCCTGTTCTGGGCCACCGTGGCTTTCCTCGTTACCTGTCATGGATGTTTATCTGGTTATTCTCCATCTAAAGGTTTTAGGACTGAATTGCTCAGTAAGGGAAGGCGAAGAGGAAGATTTAAATTTAAAAGAAGTGGGTCGACCTTGAAGAAAGACATTTAAGTAAATAACTGGACAATATTATATGGGTCTGGCAAAAATTGAGCAAAGTAGGCATAAGAATGAGATGTGTGGAATGTTGGGCTATGTGATGGCTTTTTAAAAAAGAAACAAAACTGGGTATCAGTTTAAGCTTAAAGAGAGAATAAAGAGCATTTCCCCCATCACACTTAGTTCTTTATAATTGTCTTAATAGTTTCTGTTCCTCCTAGGTCTCATATTTCGAGGAAGAACAGAACATATTATCTCGGAGTACAAGTCCTTGGATCCCCCAGTTGCAGTACGCCTTTCAGGACAAAAATAACCTTTATTTGGTGAGTCTTTCCATCCATCTCTGTAGAATTAGCCTAGTGTTGCAATAATCAGATACCACGGCTGTGTAATTGAATGTGGTTCTTGGCCATGTGGCCCATGCATGACACTTTTCATTCATTCTCATGCTCAGGAGACACCTTTCAGGTGTCTTCTTGTCCTTGTCCTAAAGATGAAGACCTAATCCATTTAGAAACAGCCCCATTTATTGCTGGATATTGTAGCTATGGCTCAAAGGGCAATAAAGAGAAGTCATTTATTGGCAATAGTCTGATAGTACCTTTAACAAAATCTTACTTTAAATTTTAAAAATTGAGATAGAGCATGGTTATTATAAGAAAATGCAAACACTGTGGAAATGTATGAAATAAAAGAGAACATGTTCGACCTTTCTCTCTAATCGCTCTCCCCTGGGAAACACATGTTAATGGTTATGTACGTTCATTCTGGCTCTTAACTGTGAGTTGTGGAAAGAATATTTCTGTGCCTGTGCCTATCACACATGTATATAGTTTGTTTCACAAAAATGGTGTGTTACTGTCTACTCTGCTCTTCAACTTGTTTTTTGCCTTTCAGTAATTTCTCCCTGACATCTTTTCATGTCAGTTCATGCAGATCTGCATTGTTCTTTTTTTTTTTTTTGCATTGTTCTTTTGAGCAGCACCATGGTTTTCACTGACATGCATGTAGCATAACTTGCAGAATGCTAAAATTCATTTTGGGGCCTTGTTTAGGTTCTTAGGGATTTAGATTCCTAAAGTTAAAGGTATCTTAGAAGCAATTTTTGTTCCTGATTCAGCTCTTAAAACAAGACTGTCCTGTTATGTTGAATGGAGATAAACTTTTATAGAGCTCACGTCAGAGAAGAGGGTAAGAGACGGATGCCTATTTGTTTTGAATCTTCACTGGGCATTTTGGGGGGACCTCCCTGGTAGTCCAGATGGTAAAGAATCTGCCTGTGGTGCAGGAGACCCGGGTTTGATCCCTGAGTCAGGAAGATCTCCTAGAGAAGGGAATGGCAACCCACTCCAGTATTCTTGCCTGGAGAATCCTATAGACAGAGGAGCTTGGCAGGCTACAGTCCATGGGGTTGCGAGAGTCAGATACCACTGAGTGACTAACACTAGGAAAACTCACTACCTTTATTTCTGATCTGGAATAAACAGCTTATTTGCCTTGGTTTCATCTTAATTGGGAACCAGTACTGGTGGGGAGGCTCCTTCTGGTCCCCCCCTGCCTTCTGAGCAAGGGTATTCTCACATGGATATGCTGGGAGACTGGCCTTGTGCTCACTATGCGATCCCTCAGAGCCATCACCATGCCTTTGGTCTCTATGTCCTGAAACTTCCTTTTCTTGAATATTGTCGTGGAAGCTTCCCTTCCTTGAAACCTGGAGCTTGAAGCCCTAACCTTTACAAGTGACCTAGGCTCACTGGTGTCCTAGGACATTTGTGGCACATGGTAGTATTTGTCCTGTGCTATGCGTGTCTTGTGGAGCCCCTCGTATTTGGGTGTATTAACAGATTTACTCATTATCTCTTAGAAAGGCAATTCCTTTGACACAGTAGGTTCTTGGTTCATTATTGTTGTTTTGGATATTTTTAACTAGAGCTCTGCAAATGATACAGAACATCAACTCAGGAGTATAAGGTTTATTTCTGAGGCCACACGGGCTGTCCCAGAGCTGGGAAGGGCTCTGATTTTTGGCGAAAGTTGAGACTCCACAATTTTCTGGTCTGCCTTGTACTGCTCCAAAAACTTAACCATTCTCTTCCTCTGAGTCGAAGAGCTCAACCTTTTTTTTTTTTTTTTAATTTTATTTATTTTATTTTTTGTGCTGGGTCTTCATTGCTGTGCAGGCTTTTCTCCATTTGTGGTGAGCGGGGGCTACTTTCTAGCTGCACTGTGTCTCCTTCTCACTGTGGTGGCTTCTCTTGGAGCTCAGCCTTTTTGATCTTCAGTCTCATGCAACTTCTTAACAGTAATCACTGTTCAAAAAAAAAAAAAGTAATCAGTGTTGAGATACTTCGGAACTTTCACACTATTATGGTAAGTTTTGGTAGAGGTGATGACAGATTGTGAGTGTTCTAGGTGAAGGAACTCAGGTGAGTGAGGACCAGTGGTTCAGCCCCAAATGGCAAGTCCCTGCGCAGGTACTTGAGGGAAGCCGCCTTCTGCTTGTCTCCGGGATGGCAGTGAGGACGATCAGAGAGGACCTGGGAGTGACGCTCGTAGTTTTCTTCACGTTGATTGTAGTTGTTTTTTTTTCTTTCTCCACCGCTCAACAGTTTTTATAGCACATCTTTAAGAGGGTAACATTTGGGCATTTTGAGAATTTTAAACTCTTTGGTTTCACCCTTTTTATCCTTACTAATTGGCTCTGTCACAGTAGTGAGAACCTTCCCATTTTTTCCTTAATTGTGGATTTAATTGCTGTGGATTCTGTTTGGATATAGCTTTTCTGGAATACCTTGTGGATTGGGAATATCTGCCATTCCTCTTCGGGGACAGCCGTCAGTGGGGGTCTTCAGGTTGTGGGGCTTCCCTCTGGATCTTGACACCAGAACTGACATTCTTAGCTGAAGATGGTCTTCTCAGTTTTTCTGCCCGCCATCCTGCAGGATGGGACTGATCTCAAAGTGACTGTTTTCTGAAGTTCTGGTTGCCTCAGCCCTCAATAACCTGGCTGCAGGACTGTTTTTATGCCATTCTTAAGTAACTCTGTTAGGTATAATTATTGCTGGGTATTTGGTAATCTGATAATTATTTCCTTGCCTGCATTTTCTTTTCCAACACTTTGGTACTTTGAAATAAAATGCTTGCTAAGGGTACAGTTTTCATATGAGAAATCCAAGCTTAGCATAGGACTTAAGATATGATAGATCCACCATCTCTTATCTGCAATTCTGAGATACCCAGTGCTCTGAATAACCTCAGGTTATTTTATGGCTTATTTGGCAGCAAGACCTGACTTGAACTCTGTAGCAAAACTTGACCCAAACTCCTATTTATTCCCTTTAGTGCAACTATTCATCCATTTTGCTGCAAATTATGAATCTGTGTGATTACAGGGTGCTATCTCAGGTCCTAGCTGAGGGTGTTACATAAAGTACATGCAACATTTTACCCTCCTAAAATTTGAACATTTCTGAATCTGGAGACACATTCTGCCTGTGGTAAGATAAGGAGACTATAGATCTGTATTTGCTTTGTAAAGCACTGAAATTCCCCTGTGCTTATAGATCATTAAACCTTTGATGTTTGGGGAGACATACAAATTGCAGTAAACTCCCCTGGCAGTTAAATATTAATGTATAATGCAATTGGAGTTTAATTGAAGATACATTTAAAATCAGTGACATAGCAGCACTATTTACAATAGCTGAGACATGGAAATAACGTAAATGTCCACCAACAGATCATTGGACAAAGATGTGGTATATATATATACAGTGAAAGACTACCCAGCCGTGAAAAAGAATGAAATAATGTCATTTGCAGCAATATGGATGGACCTAGAGATTATCAGACTAAGTGACATAAATCAGAGAAAGACAAATATTGTATGTTACTGCTTTTAAGTAGAATCTAAAAACATGGTACAAATGAACATATTTAAAAAACAGAAATAGACTCATAAACATAGAAAACAAACTTATGGTTATCAAAAGAGGGGAAGAGGAGGGATAAACTGAGAATTTGGGTTTAACAGATACACACTACTATGTATAAAATATACAGTCAGCAAGGACCTACTGTATAGCATAAGGAATTATATTCAATATCTTATAATAACCTATAATGAAAAAGGGTCTGAAAAAATACGTATACTTTCTCCACACTCTCATCTCTTTCCCTATTTACCTGGTTAACTCTTGTTTCTCCGTCTGGGCTCAAGTCAGATGTTATTTACTCCAGAAACCCTTCCTGGACCTGTGGGAGGGACCCCCCTCTGTGCTCAGAGCAGCCTGAATTTGCTCTTGGTGAGTGGGTGGCGGTTGCCTCCACCAGGCTTCCGGTTCCATCAGAGTGATGATATCTCTCTGGCTTCCAGTAGAGCTTCCCCAGGTTGTCGCTTAAGAAATATTTATTGGTTGGATGCATGATTAATTTCATAGAAATTTGAGTTACAGACAGTGTACTTACAGCATTATGGAAATTGTATTATGTTAATGTTGTTGTTCAGTCACTTCCCAGGTGGCACTAGCAGTAAAGAATACACCTGCCAGTGCAGGAGATGCAGGAGACTTGGGTTCAGTCCCTGGGCAGGAAGATCCCCTGGAGTAGGAAGTGGCTACCTGATCACCAGTATTCTTGCCTGGAAAATTACATGGATGGAGGAGCCTGATAGCTTACAGTCCATGGGACCACAGAGAGTCGGACACAACTGAGCAACTAAACACAGCTCGGTCCCTAAATCAGGTCTGACTCTTTTTCGACCCCAGGGACTGTAGCCTGCCAGGCTCCTCCATCTATGGGATTTCCTAGGCAAGAATACTAGAGTGGGTTGCCATTTCTTTCTCCAGGGGACTCGTCCTGACCCAGGGATCACACCTGTGTCTCCTGTATTGGCAGGTGGATTCTTTACCCCTAAGTCACTTAGGAAACCTGTTAAATTAATAGTATGAGTTTTTTTCTCTGAAGTATGCAGTTGAAGACAGGTCCACCAAAATTTTTTAAAATTTGATTCGCAGTGCAAGGAAACTGAACTTGGATCCTTTTGAGTTTTGATGGTTAAAAATTTCCCATTCATAGTTACACACTAGTGAGCATGGCTTACCAGGTTTTACTATAGAAAATCCTAGCAAAGTCCGTCTTAACGTCTGGTTCCATATAACAAGGCGAGTCGCGTATTCTGGCAGGTGGCCCACAGAAGCTGTACTTTGTTGATCTGGTTTATGATGAAATCTGTTCTGTTCCGTTTAACAGATGCCTTCCCCAATGTCCTTCCATGAAGGAGCAGCCAGTCTCCACAAAGAAAACATTGTTCTGCAACTCATCA